TTGATTTCTGGTTTTGGAAAGAAAGATTAATCATTGAAATGCACCATTACAAATTACTAATGGATTCCCTGTAGCACTTGGAAATCATTAATTTAAACTCTTGGACGATATTTTCACATTTTGACATGTAATTTCCCCACTAAATGGCATCATAAGCTTAAGTAAAAAATTTAAATAAAATGTTATATGCTGGGAATGAATTGCAGAAATGTAGAATGAACAAATCATACTGTTCAAGTTGTTTTCGAAGTCTTCTCCTTCATATGAAATGATGCTTTTTTTGCGAATAATATACTATTTTCATAACTGCTGCAAGTTTTCAACAGTTACACATAATAGTTAGGACAAGTTTAGCCTATATATATCCCTGTCTATGCTTATTCTGAAAATGGCGCATGACGTGAATATGGTGAAAAGCCACAGTTTTGTGGATATGAAAAGCTGTTCTGGTCAAATTTTTTTAGCATTTAAAAACTTACTCATAGGCTGCATTATCTGGGCTCATAAAATTTTGTAAAAATTTAGAATAAGGGTCGGCTCAGATGATTTTTTTCTTTTTAGTTGGAGAACCTATGCGATGAAATTGTGAGCTCGTAAAAGATAGCTTGAGTGTTAGGGCAAAGAACTTATGTGTACAATCTTTGGCTGAGTCTCGAGATTACGTTTTTCACTTATTTCCATGGTTACATTCCGGTGCATAATTATCATAACTTTGTAAGATAGCTTATAACTCTTTAGGTACAATCGATATATAGTAAAAATGATATTCGCATAAGCAAGGAAACCTTTGTAACAATACCCTCTTCTTTAAGGACTGCATGTATTGGCAGTGAAAATCTCAAGGAAAGGCAATAAAAGAAAAATAAATAAATAGTTAGGATTAAATTATTATAAAAACCATAATTATATAATTTATTTTATTATACAAAACTAATTGCAGAACACCTAGACACAAAATAATCAAATACAAAACAATTATATAAAAAGCAGCTACTATACAAAATAACTATATACAAAACAGCTAAACGCAAACTATTATATGCAGAATATATAAATGCAAAACAACTCTACAAGTTATATAAATACTGGGAACAAAACCAACTGGGAACAAAAAAATGTATATTTAATCTATTAGTACTTTTAAACTTAAATGTTAAATTCAAGTATTATCCATCTATACATACAATGAAATAAGAAATTGGTGTGTCTGTATACTGGATTTAGGTACAATCGATATATATTAAAAATAATATTTGCATAAGCATGGAAACCTTTGTAACAATACCCTCTTCCTTTAAAGGACTGCATGTATCGGCATTGCAAATCTCAAAGAAAGGCAATAAAAGAAAGATAAATAAATAGTTAGGCTCAAATTATTATGAAAACTTTAATTATATAATTTTTTTTACTCTACAAAACTAATTGCAAAACACTTAGACTCAAAATAATCAAATACAAAACAATTATGTAAAAAGCAACTACTATACAAAATAACTATATACAAAACAGCTACATGCAAAACTATTATATGCAGAATAAATAAATGCAAAACAACTCTACAAGTTATATAAATACAAAATAACTGGGAACAAAAAAATTTATATTTAATCTACGAGTACTTATAAGCTTAAATGTTAAACTCAAGTATTATCTTTCTATACATATAATAAAATAAGAAATTAATATGTTTGTATACGGGATTGCGGGTGAGCCGTAGACTTTAAAAATACGACATTCAATATAAAGTTAAGTTAATTAAATTGTAAACATTTAACAAAGCCCAATTTACGATTATCTTTTTTTAATCAGAGACATTTGAAAAATGGAATTTTCTTATTGGTTAAGCAGAAGACGTTGTTTTAAAGTAAACTAAGTATTGTTAAATATCTTAACGATAACATCAATGAAGTTTGCTAGCTTATAGTTATAATCAGAAAACTTCTTTATTGCACGTTTTGCAATACTTAATAAATTTTTATGAGTTATCCCAGCTTATCAGAATGATCAACGTGATTGTCATAGCTAAGTGACTAAATTATCATTTTCTGAGTGACATAAAACCACGTGTCCATAGGTATGCTTTTGAAACAAATTACTACACTAAATAATTTAAATTCGCCGGTAATGGTATACCTGTAAGTGACGTAGTATGAGTATCTCGATCCTGATTGGTTCTTGAAACGTGGCATTTGTTTACGTTAACAACTGTTCGTTATATTATATTTTGAGTAAGTCCAGCTCGTCAAGCATCGATTATTTTAAGTGACATATTCTATATTCTTACACGAAGATTCTTTCTCAAAAATTTCAAATTTTTCTTATTTATATTACTTTTAAAACGTTTTTCTGAAAAACTATTAATTTAAAATCAACGATAATTGAATAGGAAAAAGTATTTATGTAGTTAAAGCAAAGCTAATGGGAATGTTGAATTTATATGTTCAGGTGAAACGTAAAAAATCGCTACATTATTACTGACGCCAATGATGTTTAATTAATTTAGGTTATATATGCATATTGAAATAAAAGGAATAAGCTGCGTACTATAAAGTATTATCATTCGTAACTTCCTGAATGAAAATTTCGTTTGTGTGTTTCTTCTCAGCTTTACAACAATGGTTACAATTTCCTTGCCAGGGCGTCTGGTTAAAGCACCGGCATTTAGATGAGAGGAGCCTTCACGATTATGGGTATCAAAATCATATTTTTGTAATTTCTGTAACCAACGAGCTACGAGCTAAAATTTATTAGCTACGTTAAAAACCGAGCAATCTGTGAGTAGCAAAAAATTCTGTCTGCATAAATAATGGTTCCGAATGCAGCAGATAACAACGAAAAACCTCAATACTATGAGTTTGTGCGTGAGGATTATTAAACTATTTTAACATCTTGCGAAAGATGAAAACTTGGAGCTCTAAAATATAAACATCAAATACCCCCACTAGTACGAGAGTGACGTCCTGAGTGTAAACTACATTTTCACTCTCAGCATGCTGATTTTAGACAGTAAGCAACAGACTTTTCTTTCTGGGCTTAAGCTACGACTTGGAGTGGAGAGGAGAGTAACACTCGCGTCCCATCGAGGAGACCAGAGAGAGCCATTTTGTTCTTCTAAAAATGATGTTGAGAGAAATTTTGTAAAGATATATGGTGCGCTTCTACATCCTTTTCAATCGATTCATAAGAATCTATCAGTAGTGTCATAATAGATTAATTGTTATTCAGATAGTTTTTGAAAATCACATGAAGTATCCTTTTAAATAAAAAATTTGGTAAGTTTTTGTTATTTATCTTTGTCTCATTTATAGTCATGTTAAGTGCTCATCCATCTTTAGTTTATTTCATATAGCTTTCTTGTAATTCTAATGATAATTCAATCACTTAGTAATGTGCTTATCAATCTACGTATCACGTGTTATATAAATGTATTCAGATTCAAGGGAATGAATATTAATTTTATAATACTAATGCTGTAGAGCGTAATTTAATAGTAATATTTTTAATCTTGGCACTTGATTGACTTGATAATTATATTCTTTTTAGGTCTTTGTCTCTGAATGAAAATTACGCTATCTGGATTTATTTATTTGCTAATTTAGTAATAAGTGCAAATGATCAATTATTAATATTAATTATGTTATCTTATTGATTATTTAAATCTAGCTATATAAACTTAATGAAGTATTCTAATTCAATAATGGTATATAATTTTTTCCAGCACCAGATTGGTCAGTTTAGTCATTTCCTGAGCACACCCCTATCAATTTTTTTAATAAGGACCAACTCTCCTCTGCTGCAGAATATTAACAATACTAGGCAATTACAATACTGCAAACTATTAACAATTACAATAACTTCGATTGAAAATGTTTGACACAAATTGTTGGACTGGACGGAGATTGAATTAGTGCCAAATGTCAAAATAATACATTTTATAAGACACAGGAGCTTTAATTTCAATTAATCTCAAACTTCATAAGACGCTCTCAAAATCCTACTTGAATAATCGAAAAAAATAAATACATAAAAATATTTAATATAGTTAAAAAAAACAAGACAAAATGGTCAAATTCATAACTCCCTTTTTAGCCTTTCTTCAAAGATGGGCCGTTTAAATAATTAAGCCATTCTAAAACTTGGAGTAATTTTTTTCAAAGGCTATGTATCTTTTGAAAAGCTATTTTTTTCAATAGACTGCTTGAAATAAAATGTAACAAATTTGTATTTTTACTATTACAAAACTAATTTCATGCACTTTCTTTAGTTGAATCTGTTTTGATGATCTTCAAGGACTTGTTAACAATAATGAAAAATGATTCCAGGATCTGAACGATTTGTAGACAGGATATTCCTAGCCAGATTTCAATAAATCCACCTATATACTTCGATATCCTAAAAAAATGTACAAATAAGTCAATAATTTAAATTTTTTTTATATTTAATATTATAAGATTAACTATAGGCAGCATTATGGTTTATAAAGCAAGTTTTTATCTTATAAATAATGAGATTAAACTATTGTTTTATTTGTATAAGAAAATTATTATTGCTTTTGTAAAAGAATTATTATTATACTATAAAAGAATTATTATTATATTGTATAAGAATTAATGTTATATTGTATAAGAATTAATGTTATATTGTATATAAATATTTTTATAAATATTATTATTGTATAAGAAATAAAACTTTCATGAATTCCTTCTTTTTTATTAGTATATGTTAAAGTATTTCAGTACTTATTTACTTGCTATTATTTATTAATTTAAACGGAACGAACTTATTAATTACACATTTATGTGGCTACATAAATAAAACATATACAATTTTTTTGTACTAATTGATGAAGATATTTTCACAAAGTAACGATATTTTCAAAGAAATATAGTGCATAGTACATGACGATACTGTTTGGTATGGATGGAGTATTATGCATTTTTGTTTTAAAAGCTTGCAGCGCAACTATATTCAACATATTTTTATTAATCTTTGAATACTTGCCTCATATTTCGGAACGTATTCGTAATGCATTATGTTATCATCGAAAACCTCTACGTCTACGGATATATAGCCTCTGAAAAGAAAAAAAGATAATTATGTGATGCTGACATTACACAATCTAATTGATACTTTCTTTTAAAAAATATATTAATGCTTACAATTTATCTCCTGATGGTGATGAAGATAGCTGAAAAACAATCGAATTGTGTTTTAGTGTTTTCACCGAAAACAGATCTCTGAAAAATTCTTTTAGAGCATTAATTTCGTAAAATAGTTCATTAATTTAATAAATAACTAAAAGTTAATCGTTGACTTGAGAGAAATTTGATAGGAATTAGTTATAATTCGTTAAATGTTGTGAATGTGTCTCATCTAAACAACTACGAAAATTGCAAACGAATAATAATATAAATGATGAAAACAATAAGTTTCGTAATTTTCCTAGAGGTGTTCCAAAAAAATTATAATTTTCTTGTGAGTTTAATTTGTATTCTCATAATATAAAGTACATTACATTTAATAGTCATTTTTATTGTATCATGTATACTAGAAAAGGGAAAGTTTTAAATTTAAAATGTTCGTCAATTAAATAAACATATTATTTAATCACAGAATTTGGAGGAAAGAGGTAAAAGTTTTTTTCTTTCAATTTTTTTCCTTTTTTCTTTTCTTTTAATATTTTTTTTTTTGAAACGATAATGTTTGTAAGTAAACATAAGTCAAAAACTGTGTTAAAAAAGCTATTTTTTTCTAACTTTTGAACACAAAGATTAAACTTTCCATGAAATACCTAAAAATGTATAAAAAAATAGTTGAAAAATATCAGAGTGTATTTATGTTTTAGCCTCCTATATATAGACAAAGATATTAATCAAACTCTTTGTTTAAGTATCCGCTTTATTAGTCAAACGTTTCTTTAATTTTATTTTTACTTGATTAATCAGAATCGATATTGTTACAGAAAATCTCTTGTTTCCATCTACATAAAAAATTAGGATAATACTTAGAAACTTGAAATTACGAAGGAATGTAAAAAAAATGTACAGTGGAGAAAATGGAGAGAAAAAAATTATATTCCATTTGTTCGAGAATTTTTATGTATTAAAGTTTTTATTTTAATTTTATAATCGTCATTGAACAACCGACTCAATTTTAAGATTTGAGAACCAATTTTGATATTTTTACTTTTGTATTGTGGTCAGTGCGAGCCGGGTGCGAAATTCTTTTCGACCAGCCATGGCGGGGATTTGCATTATTGGAAGGCAAGTGCTGCATCTCCTGAGCCACCACTGCTCTAACTGTTAAGCTTGGCGTAATACCGTAAGAGCTACTCTGTGAATCACAGGAATACAACTAGTGAGTTGAAATTAGACGTGCTGAAAAAAAGACCAGTTTCACTTAAAAACGTAACTACGGGCTTGCAGTTAGACGTGCTGAATCAGCCCTTTTTATTTATAAACATATTTCGTAATTCAAATAGCGAATTTTGTTTCGATTTAAAATTCATTAGGGATGATTGTGAACTTAAATGCTTTTTGTGATTTTTTCAGATTCTTAGTTTTAAATATTGACTACTTTTCTATTGTTGTAGAAATTTTTCCCCATACAATGATCTTTATTTCTTTATTTTATTAGCTCGCGCTGAGTAGATATCAATTAAAAGCAGCAAAATAAGGAGATACATTAAATGTTGCCATATTTAATACTTATTGTATAGAATTTTATGATTATCATATTATTTTTTACATTATTTTATTTTATCTATTGTTTTATATTATATTAAATTTCATATTTATGTTATTTTATAAAAAAATTATACAAGCTTATTCCTATTTGAATTGTTGTAAGTCTTATTAATAAAACAATCTGTTTTCCTTAAGGTAATTTTTTTCAAGTGCACATGAAAGTTTTTAAAATCTAGGTAATCTTCTATTTTGTCACGATCAACATATTGACAAAAAGTTCTCATAGAAAGCTACTATAACTGTATATTTTGAAAACAAAAATGTTCCGCGTTTTTTGTGGAGAATATTGACGTTAAGAAAAAAAAAGAACGATGAATGAGAGAAAATTAGGTGAGATAATGAGCGGGAGCAAGCGGAGATGTTTCTTCGAATTAATTAAATACGGATTCTAATAAAAACATAAAATTAAACCGTTATACAAATAAATGGGTATTAGAATTTATTTTTTCTTTTGTGCTATAATTTTACATAATTTAAAAAGAGCAAAAACTTTGTTTTAAATAAAATACTTTAAAATAATCTTATTATTTTCAAAGTCTAACAGATTTCAGTTACTGAACCTTATCGATCATTGAATACTGCAAGTTAAAAATGATGCTTGAGGATAATTAATTGTTTATACAGAGGAAAACAAATTTAAGACTTTTAGAAATGATGTTAGAAAGATAAACCATTGGCACCTACTACAAACTTATTTCTATTATCAAGGATCTGGATATTACTTTATTTTTGTCAAAGAAACTGCTCCAGTTCTTTTTCTTTCCATTTCATTATGCGTTCCGCAGGCGAAGGAATATATTTAGAAAAACTAAAGTCGTATTTTATTTTGAATGTTCAGATGTCATTCATAACACAGAAATAATATCATCCTTCTTATAGAACATTCGATTATATTAAGCAGAAATTCTCGATTAATTCCAATATTTAATTCGCAATACACTAAAGATTTTATCTTACAGCAATTTATTAGACAGAAATAAATAGTAATATTCAAGTCCTAACTAGATCATGATTTTACTTTAATCTAAATCTTTAAGTTTGTCAGAAGTGATTAGTTCAATTAATTTCAATATATAATTCATAACACAGTAGAGATATTTTCTTACTATAATGGGCCTTTCCATTATGTTTGTTCGAAATATTGTCTTTCTGAAAAAGGAAGAAAAAAACATTAAACATTCAAACACAAAAATGAAAATAAGTAATTTGGAATTCAATCAATCAATCTCGGGTTTATACTTTTATTACATGCAGTTGAAAATAATTACATTGATTCGGAACACATTTCAACAAAAAAAATACATATTTATAGAAGGCGCGAATAATGTTTCATATTTTTATACTGATTTATCACATAAAATGTATAGGAAAAATGCTCGCAATAATTTTCAACCTCAGGTTTTCAATTTTAACCTTTAAAGAAAACTAGAAACAATGAGAAATGGATTTAATGGCAGGCACTGAACTTTTATTCTTCACCTTAAGATGCCGGAAGTGTAGCTCATTTATTGTTACCAGGTGGGAACCTATGAATCAAAGACATGGAGGCAAGAAACATTATCCATCCGACACTGACACAGATACCCATTCATAGGAGGGGAGATACACATTCATCCAAAACACACAGAGAAACATCCATTCCCTGATCAGGATTCGAACCCGCAGCTATTAACTTCGCAATCAGGCACGCTAACTACTCGGTCACCTGGCCGGCTGGAAAAGATATTACTACTATATGCAGAAATAATTTTAAAAAAAAATTAAGTGATTATAGTGGTGATACTTTTTATTAAGTTCATACCAATGGCAAAGTAATTTTCTTGATTTAACTTTTCTATTGGGAAGCTATCCGATATATTTTTTTTCCAATGCCCGCCCGAGTGGTACTCCTCATTCAGGTATCAGATTTGTTGGCCACTCTTTCAGGGGCACCCTATTAGGCGGGCCAACGCTGCTCACACAGTACAGATAATACAAACGTGCCTTGTGTCCGGGATTCGAATCGAGGACCTTTCTTATGTGAGGTCAGCTCCCTAACACAGTCCGGTCGGCAGATATTCAATATAAATACTTAGAAATTTCATGACTTTTTAATTGTTAATCATGTAATGTAAATAATGCTACTACTTACGAACATTCTTCTTTGCAATTTTTATCACATGATTCAAGATCCCGCTTTCTACATTCATAAGTCACATCTTTCTTTGCAATTTCTAATAGGATGAAAGATAATTTCTAATGCTTTTTACTTCTCATTAAAATGTACATATATATATATATANTATATATATGTTAATGTCTGCCCTTTATAGACTCCTAAATCAACCGACCAAATGCTATGAAACTTGGCATACAGATAGTTCAAAGCGCGAGGAAGGACATTGTCATCATTAGAACATTCGGCGAAAAACCGTTTCAGCGGCATCAGCGAAAATCGAAATGGAATTTTCTGATTGGTTAAAAGTTAGCCATTGTTTTAAATTTTGCTATGAACGATTCAGTTTCAAATATCTTGAAGATAACAACATTGATATTTTCTATCTTATAGCTCAATTCATTTAGAAAAGTAAATTATATATACTTTAATATTTAATTATAATTCGCGCAAGTTTCTTTATGTCAGGTGAGCGCAAGCACGTAAAATCAACGAGAATAGATTTCTTAATTATTGGTCTTATCACGTGAAAACTGTTTAATAAAAATAAAGGCAAAATCAAATTTCATTCAAATTGCACGTTCTATATATTTTTTTTTCATTTCTAATGGCAGGGAATAACAAACATAAAACACAGAGGAACAATAAAAATAGAAAATAACAAAAGACAGAAGTCATCTTCCCAAAAGCTCTCTCGAACGTCCGGTCTCTGAGTCAAATCCGTGGATCCTCGTACAGCAATGGAGGTGCTCTCTATTCATTGGTTCTCCAGATCCGCACAGGCACGTTTTACATAATTATTTATATTTAGTATGGAATTTTAGGTCAGCACAATTAAATATAAATTTTGAAGGTTTCCCTGCTGACAGTTGTCATTTGAAAACTATCAGATTGTTTATTATTACAAAGTTTTTGATTTCACATTAATTTCATTTCTTTCATTTAAAAAATAGAATTTTGTTTTAAATTTTATCATTTTTATATTTCTTATTTATTTCCTTTTTATTGCTCTTTTTATTATTTGAAATATATATGTGAATTTTCGATTTAGCAAATTTGCGACCACTGTCACCTTTTTACATTTCTTTTTGTTTGAGAGAAAATATTTGCAAAAATATGCCGCCTAAACTAATCGAATCATTCTTAGTCATCTCAAGCACGCAAAAAGAGAGCTACCCGTGTTTCAGAAACATCGGAGCAACGGGAAAAAAGACTAGAAACTAATCGAGAAACAATGCTTTAGCCCGTTCTTTAGAAACGTCTGAGCAACAGGAAATGAGACTGCTAACGAGTCAACTACGCACTACTGAAGTCCGTTCTTTGGAAACGTCTGAGCAACAGGAAAGGAGACTGCTAACGAATCAACTACGCACTACTGAAGTCCGTTCTTTAGAAACGTCTGAGCAACAGGAAATGAGACTGCTAACGAGTCAACTACGCACTACTGAAGTCCGTTCTTTAGAAACGTCTGAGCAGCAGGAAAGGAGACTGCTAACGAATCAACTACGCACTACTGAAGCCCGTTTTTTAGAAATGTCTGAGCAACAGGAAAGGAGACTGGTAACGAATCAACTACGCACTACTGAAGTCCGTTCTTTGGAAACGTCAGAGCAGCAAGAATGAAAATCAGTCAAGAACGCTCTTCAGACGCTCAGAAGAATACATTCATTTAAGGGATGAAATAATTATTGATGGTAACGTTAATCCTAATGATGTGGGGAAAATGATTATACTGCCAGCTACATTTACTGGGAGTCCAAGGCACATGTATGAATACTCACAGGATGCAATGACATATGTTCGCGCATATGGGAGTCCGGATTTATTTATTACATTCACATGCAATCCTGCTTGGGTTGAAATTAAAGAGTTTGCGTTACCAGGACAATCATCATCGGATCGTCATGATATTACCGGACGTGTGTTCAAACAAAAATTAAAATCTTTACTTGATTTCATTGTGAAGTGTCATATTTTTGGAGAAACACGGTGTTGGATGTACAGTGTTGCAGAGACATGGTGTTGGAATGGCAAAAAAGAGGATTGCCACATGCACACTTTCTGATTTGGCTTATTGAAAAAATCACATCATGCCAAATGGGTCAGCTCATATCAGCAGAAATACCTGATGTCGCCATTGATCCAGACTTATTTCAGACCATCATCCAAAATACGTTTCCTGGTTCGTGTGCATCCCCATGCATGTCTGTTTTAAAATGCACTAACGATATCCTAGAGAATTAAGTGCTGAGACTGTCACTGGTTTTTTCACCATTAAATAAAATTCTCATTTCAAATCATAATCACAAATCTCATTAGTATATATATATATATATGNTGTTCTTGAATTTTATGATTGATCTGACTTAAGGAAGGGTAATCTTGGTGGATACTTTCAGTGTAATATCCATCATCATCTAAATGGCAATGTCCATCATTTGGTTTTACAATACCACCAAGATAAAAGAATATATATATATATATATATATAGCATAAAAACATAATGGCTTAACACAGTTTTCCATTGTTGTCGTTGTATTTTTGTTGGTCGGAAAATCCCCTGGTAGGATCCAGTTTGAACTTATTCTTTTCCATATTGTTTTGATTGGATATGCATAAAATAAATAAAAGTTTTTAAGCCTATTGTTTTTTTATAAATATTTTTTTATCCCCAATTTAAAGGTATTTTCCTGTACTGCTATGATTACGCTTTTGATTGAAGAGTTCAAACGGTCAAGAAGATTGTGAACTCACTAAGTTTGTCAAATCAATGTAATGTTATAACAATAGAAATGTTATTTCAAAAAATGATTACTTAGAAATTTTTTTTCACCAGTGGGTCTAAATATTTATAATGCTATTAGATAATAATATTTCAACGGAAGAAGTGGACGCACAGGCGTAAGTAGAATTATTTTTAAGTGAATAATTTAAACTTTTATGGAAAAACTGTTTTCTGGCGAGCAACAACAATTATTGTAGGTTATAGAACAGAATGTTTCAGTTTATCGAACAGGATGTTTTTTGTCTATCACTAGTCAGATCCTTCTCAAGACGTATCAAGGCTCCCATCTAATGCTAACAGCATAAGCTCCATAGCATGGCGAGGTTTTTACACCGAAATTAAACTTATGGATTGTTTAAAAGTAAAGCCTGAAGTATTTGACATTTCAGTGAGAGTGGAATTTTCGTACCTATTTTCTTCACATTTTCTACAGTAAATCTGTAGAGGCTGTTCAGAAACGTTTATTGAAATTTTCTGCGAAATATATGATTAAAATGTTGGTAAAAAAAACCTCCAGACATTTTTCAAACTTAATTTTCTTTTTTTTTTTTTGTACTTTATTTTTTAAAAATTTTTACTACTTAATATTTTTAAGTTCTTAAAATTTTTTTTCAAAATGTTTCCGTGCGAATTTTTTTCAATAAAAGTTGCTACTCATCCATCTGAAGTAAATTGAAGCTTAAATCATCAAATACTTTTATTCAAAAAAATATATTAAATCAAATACTCTCTCTCACCTTTTGAGCTGCATATTTTTTTTACTTGAGAAGGATATTCATAAAGTAAATCGGAACAATTGTAACACTCCGCATAATATTCCACATAACATTTTTGGCGGCACATCTGAAAAGAAAATATGTATTGCTTTAAAATATTTATTGTCACGCAATAAAATAAATGAGCATGCATAATACGTTGTTCTTAGCTTTAAATTTTTCTGTTATATAGTAATCAGTATACTAAATATAAATCAATTCTGTGTCTAGTTAACCCGGTTAGCAATAAACTATAATGAAAAAAATTACTTAAATTATTATTTTTAAATTTAGAATTTTAAAAGATTGTTTCACCTACGAAAATTTTTCAAGTAAGTGGGAATAAGTTTGTCTAACCCTTCGGATAAGTTAGCATAGGGCAGCTTTTTAAGAAAACTAGTAAAACATACTTGTCATAAATTCTAAACATGCATTCTATTAATTCATTAACTCAAATGGAAAATATAAATGATCTTTTTTCGCAAGTGGCTCCTCATTTTATGTCATAAATTCATAATTATATGTCATAAATTCTAAACATACAAGACATTAATTCATTCAAATGGAAAATATAAATACTATTTTTATTTTACTTCTCAAACAGCTCCTCATTTCAATCATAGATTCATAATTATAAGTCATAAATTATAAACATGCATGCGCTTAAATCATAAATTCAACAGAAAAATATAAATTATCTCCTTGGTTTACTTCGCAAACGGCTCCTCATTTTATGCCATAAATTCATAATTATATGTCATAATTCTAAACATACATGTCATTAATTTATTTAAATGAAAAACATGAACTATCTTTTTGGTTTATTTCGCAAACGGCTCCTCATTTTAAAAGGTAATGATGAAGTAACTTCACGGTGTCTAAATTTTCGACAGTTTACTTGCTTAAACTATTGAGACCATATTCTCCATATTGCTGCTATTTATTTCAAGTGTCATTTTATTTTATTCATTTATTTTACTTACTCAGTTTTATTAAATTCTAATTTTTTTCGCAGAATTTGTTGCTGATAAACCGGGGAAAGTCAACGAATCCTCTTATGGACAGTTTGGGAAGCTTTCATATAAAATAAAATATCATGCCTAGTACTTAAATATCGTTTAAATGTTTGTTTATTGATAAAAATAAAAATAAAGTAAATTCTGGTGCTATTTTATAATTTTGTCTCATATCCATTAAAATGAGTTGTATTATTCTGTCTATAAAAATAATTTGTAAAAATAATCTTTACTTTTCTTAAAACTCGAATAGCCTAAGTGAACCTAAGTTTTATTAGAATCACTAGAATAAGTATTTAAGTAGTTTAAACAAAATTATATAGTGACATATTAAGTTCACTTGACACTATGTTACTGTTTTAGAGATATTTACCTGTTTTGATCGAACTCCTTTAAAGTTATTTTTTCTCCATTCTTCTTCATAATTGGTGCAGTCTGTGTCATACGGAGAACTCAGTCTTTCGACTTCTCTCTGATGAGTTACAAAATAACCAATGATTAGAACAATCAATTAAGAAGAAGTGGAAAAGATCGAAAAACACGTTTTGCTGCATTTTTAGTTTTGGAAACCAAGATTTCCGAAACAAATTCAATAGTGGATGGCGCTGCTCATTGATAAAAACTAAGAATTGTGTTTTCTAGAAAAAATTAAACAACAATAGCAACAGCAATGGTGGTTCAACTAACTGAGGAAATATTTAATTTTAACTGGTCTGGCATGATATAGATTAGCTCTACTGTCTTAATACTTAAGAAATTTTGAATCAAATCACGGTAAAAAGTACTGGCACTCTGAATGCAGCATCCGATAATATCCCTTTACACCGTAAAATTTTATACAATAACTAGGAGGCTTCGCCCCCTGCTCGCTGGCTCTCGCCAACCCCCGGAACTGCTTTCGCAGTTCATTTCGGATTGCTCCGCAATCCGAAGCTCGCTTTGCTCGCGCATTGGATACGTTCTTAACGTCTAGCTTTTGTATACTTTTTTGAACACTGAAGTTCCGAAAACTTTAACTGTAGAAAATTCTAAACCTGTGCATTTCAATATTAATTTGAAATTGCAAACAGTTCACATATTTTTCTTAATCACACTATTCTAAATTTCAGTTGTTGAGAAAAGTAACTTTTATAAGCTTTGTTTTAAAGTCTTTCCCACCAGAGGGCTAAAACCATGTGTTGTAAAACAATATGAAATAGTACTGAACACCGGATGTAAAGCATCGGCTTCGATGAAGATAATTTTGTGAGAATTTTTTTGATAATTCGGTGAGAATTCACCTGATTAGACATATGATATGCTCACTACGTGCTCTTGCGCGCCGAAGCCTATCAATTAAAAATGAGAACTGTTGCCAGCGCGAGAAAAGAAATATCATCGGTTTTATTGATACATACATACGTACGTATTAGCGTTTTATATAATACTAGGTGGCTCCGCCCCCTGCTCGCTGACGCTTGCCATCCCCCGAGAATTGCTACGCAATCCTATGTGGTTCACGCCGTGAACCAAGGCTCGCTGCGCTCGCTCGCCAATGAACACAATGTACTAGCACAAAGACATAATATATTATCATCAAAGACATAGTATTGTACTTATGTAGAAGAATTCTACCAATGCTTTTATTGGCTTTCAAAAAAGTACATTTAGATTGTACATGGTGAAAAAATCAAAACATTAGCTAAATGAGAAACATGTTAAAATTCAATGCATTCAATACAAACACTTAGACGTTTTTTAGACGTTTAGGTAGCTCCATGTAGAAAAATATCAATTCAACAGCGGCCTTTTAAAGCATTCTCACTTCAATTAATTAATTAATTCCTAATTGAGTTTAAATTAAATATTGTCATGTTTTTAGTGCATGAATCTGAATTGATCTGGTTATTTTAGCCATATGATGCTCACTACGTGCTCTTGCGCGCCGAATCCAATCAATTAAAAATGAAAACTGTTGCCAGCGCGAGAAAAGAAATATTATCGGTTTTATTGATACATACATACGTACGTATTAGCGTTTTATATAATATAGATAGATAGATTTTTACGGTAATATTTATTTTATTACAACGATTCAGTGATTTTACACTAGATATTACTGAAAAATTACGATAAATCATATTTTTAATTCTGTAAACTTTTATGGTAAAGATGAATTTTGAGCTAAAAAGTACCGGCACTTATACAGAATTTTTTACAGTGCGAAGCTTGACTTACAAAGATTTTCTAGTAAATTATTGAAACAAATGGTAAAAGAGAATAAAGCACAAAAGTGGCTAAAGTAACTCAACCTAACAGCTACTTAAACGCAATAATATTTTTTTTATATTCCTAAAATGAAAACTAATATTTTGAAAAAAAAGCAAATGAATAAAAGGATCTCGGACTTATAGTACTTACTATATAAACATTAATAATGTAGTGTTTTCTTGGACTTAAAAAGTATCCTCTTGCAAAGGGATTCACTGCATCATATGGAGAATGCACAGCCAAAAATATTCCCGGAGGAACATCGGGTTCAAACACGTCGTTCATTTGAGGATCAAAAATAAATTTGTGAGGAGTCCAACCTAAAACGCCAAAAATATATATAGTAAACTAAACGTATTTTATACCAAACATTAAAGATACGTTAAAACTACGTAATACGTTAAAACTTGATGCTTCGAAGCATCAAAGATGGGGTCAAACGACTGACACGACCTTGGCGGCCGGTAAGCGAATTGACAAAACATACATTAGATTGCAAAGGGTTGGCGAAAATTTCTATTGGCGTTAAAGGAGCGTTCTCGCAAATCGCCAAACAGCTGTGTGCTTATGATTTTGTTTTGTTTTCGGTATCGCATAACATTCAACAAGTTAGATATGGGTGCGACATTTCAATTAAGCGGGTCTCCATATGATTCTTTTGCATCAAATAAAATATAAAGCGTATTTTTTTGTTATAGCGCCGACATAATCGTTTGTATCTGTTGACTAAATTGTGTTTATTAGCGTTTTTTAAAAGGTCGTAATAGAACTAAGATAGAAAAATTACACATTATTACATATTCTATAGTTTCATAACTTTCATTAAATGTATTTCGAGTAGTGAAATTCTTTTCCTACTCATCCACTAATTAGAATTAATAATTTCACAATAACCTTTAATCCTTAATAATGAAATGATTATTATAATAAAGTTTGTTTACTTAAAAGATTAAAAAAAAATTTTTTTATTGTTTAGCAGAGACTGTTTCCGATTCTATATTCATTAATTAAACTTAATGGTTTTGCTCGATAACCATTTACAATTTTTTTAAAATTTTATTTAATTTTCTGTTATTATGAAATCCTTTAAATATTTTTCGACGTAGAGATTATTTAGCAATAATGCGAAAAGCTGAAATTTATAAATGTATAATATTTATAAATATTTAAGAGAATTTTTAGCAACTATTTTGCATTAATTATTTTAATTGAAATGTTCATTATACGCAGTTTTATAATAATAATCGTAAAATTCATTGAACAATTGAGTATTACATTTTAAAATGCAAGTATAATTTAATAATTGTTTCATTTTATAACTGCAAAACGGTAGATAAGTAACTTCGTTATAAAGATACATGATACGAGAATATTATACGATTGCTTTATAATGAAAGAACAACAATTTAAGTTTTAAACTTTTTGTGGAAAAGAAAAAATTTAAAATTTCTCCTGTCATCGGTGTTAGCGATTAGAGAGTCCTTTATCGTATAAATATTAAGTCAGTATTGTTCCCTTTTAAATAAAAATGCATTTTGCTCAGGAAAAAAAAAATTGCTTGAATTTTGTCGATAGAAATTCCCTAATTATAGCAGCAAAAACTTTTAAATTTCTACTGAAACTTTCCTTCATTATAATTTTGTGTAAATAATTATTATTAATAATATAAATGACTATTGAAAGGAATTAATTGAGAATGTCCAATTTTAATGAATTAACTGTTTACGCAATCAGATTAATAATTTTTTTCATAATTTACAAATGGAGAAAAAGTCTTTACAGTTTAAAAGTGAAGAGAAAAATATAGTTGAGATTAAATTTATAAAGTTAGCACAACCCGAAGGAGATTGAAGCAATGGCATTAAAATCGAAATTTCAAAAAAAAAAAAAATCACGTTTTAGTGTACAGTGAGCAGTAAACAAAAATCTAAAACTAACTTTTGATCTAATGATCAGATGTTTACGTTCTAGGATTCAATCTTAATAGATCGAGAGGGTGAATTCAAATATGCCGCTTAATTATAGCAGACAATATATTTTAAGTTCGGAAATCAGACACTAAAACAAGCCTACTTTGAGAAATTTTTTTCCTGCGTATTCGGATTTTTGATCCCCAGTATATAGGGGTTGTCGCAATCTGGAAATATTATCCCAATCGTTTGGTCAGGAAAGCAATGCAATGTTAGGACCCCTTAGTGTTAACCTTACTTTTTGCGCATTTCACCATATATTGGGAACTTTCCAGCGAACTTTTAAGTGAATTGAAAATATTTTGCACTCAATGTTTTAATGTTCATTTAATTTAGAAGTTCCTTCTTTCCTTACCACTATTGCAAGATATTTACTTTTCACCTAACTTGTAAAATTAAAAAGTTTAGAATTCTTTACAAAATCACTCAGGCGAAGTGATTGCCTTTTATTTAAATCTTATTTAGAAGATATTTTTCTTAAAGTATTTCATTTAAAGTTTTTATCATTTTAAGTTGAAATGAATGTCGCCCTGCTTTGCATAGTTCAAAAATTATTTCAAAGGAAACATAACTTAACATTAAACACTCAGGACTTACAATTATAAATCAAACAATCACTACATTTATTTATTAAAAAACACTCTTATGAACTGATAATAAATTGATCTAAGTCCTAAATGTGAGTTCTGTAGTATATAGTTTATTTAAACTCAGTAAATACATCTGACCTCTGTTGTCGCCAATGGCTCAATTTTAAAATATAGTTTTTCTTTCACAAATTTTCGGATATTTTCATATGAAGGATAGTATTAAGTTTGAGAAATAAAAATTTTTGTTTAAAACAGTTGTTAAAAGTTATAATTATTATTAATACTTGACAACAGGAAGTTTTCAATTAAAGGTTGAAATATTTTTTAATTAAGTTATTTTTTAATTCTGTTAATTTTTGAATTATGTTTTTAATTACCTAATTCATATAACAGTATTTAGGAATCTATAAATTTATGATACGTATGATCATTGCAAAATAACCTGCACCCAATATATGTAAATAAAATATATTTTTAAAATTGTGCATTTTCTACTAATTGCATTTATTATTCTTATATTGAAAGAGTATCAAGGTATCTATGACCTCCATAATAAATGAAGTATTTACGGACTTTTATATTTATTAAGGAATTGAGTCAATTCTTCACGAAGTTTAAGATTTCATCCCATTGAAAAAAAAGTTATTTAATAAATAATTTTTTTACAATAAATGCTTCTAGTAATAAAACAAACGCGATATATGTCATTGAAGAAAAATCCCTTCATTTGTACATTTTTCCCTCCTTGAAATTATTTCACATATTTCTTTTTTCACTAGCGAATTTCCGATTACTTTAAAATTTTTCAAATATCGATTTTTTCATTTGCAAGAAATTTTTATTTTAAAGCGAGATAACATTTTTGAATACTCCAATTTTTTTTTCTAATAAATAATATGTCTTTGTTAATTTCTTAAAAAAAATGTTCATAAGAAAGTTTACATTATTCTTTTATCAAGATTGATTTAACAGAGAAAATCACTAAATTAAAACAGGTTATGTTTTCTTACAATAAAAGTTAAATAGAATTCTTTAAAATAGCGTTCCTATAAAACATGGTCTTAAAATGTTACGTTATTTTTTGTGATTGGTTCAATAATAAATTATTTTTATTTCTTCACAAACACAATTCTTGTAAAAAAAAATTAAATCTGTTATATCAAAAAACTAGATCGTTTTATAAAATATAAATTATTGCGCTTAATAAAATATAAGTACAGTATTTTTGTAACGTGATCCTAAGAATAAAAAGGTTTTTTTCTTTTTTAATTCTCTACTAAAATGAATTAATGAGTTATTTTTAATTCATCATGGCTAGTCGAGGAGGAGAAAAAAAAATATCGAATTTCACTGTTTAGGTTAATGTAATTTCGTTCTCCCACCACATTTACGCGTAATCCATCGCCAATTTCACTTGCAATCGCTTAGTTTATAATCTACGGTATGTTTTGTCAATTCGCGGCCGGTAACCGGCTGTAGTACCTAAAAAGAAGAATAGGTTTAAATTAGTGTTGTCCCTGTGTAGCAGGTTTCTCTAAAATGAATAATACATAATCATCTGTCTTCCACATATCTTTGAGGACATGCACAATAAAATTTAATGACTAAACTTATTAATACACTGTTAGAAATTTCTCAGTAAAAATGTAAAAAGAATTATTCATTTAGTTGTTATTTCAGCCAAAACAGTCAATTAACCGTTAAAAAAAAATTATGATATTCAAACTATTAAATGGGGGAAAATACGTTTTTACCTAAAACGGTTTAACAATCAGAATTCTATCCGCGACAACTAATGAGGCCATTTTGCTCCATGCAGCTGTGTACAGCTGAGAGAGCTGATTGGCTGAGCACGGGTTTGAATCCCAGCTTTGATAACACAATATTTCTGCCACTCTCTAATTGGGGATCTTGGACTATTAGGATACAAAAATATTACTCAAGCATAAATAGCGCAGTATCCGTAGCACTTTAATTCACATTTAAATTCACTTTTACGGTTTAGAAACTATGCTAATTGCAAATGGTTACAAAACCGGTACATTTTTGTATTTACGTTTCTTAACCGTAGCAGTTGTAAACTGTTACGAAATACTTAAATGCTCAGAAATATTCCGAATTATATTTTTTATAGTTTACTGGATGCTGCCGGTAATTTTACCGTAATTTGTTGTTGTTGTTGTTAATTTATGTCGCACTAGAGCTGCACAATGGGTTATTGGCGACAGTCTGGGAAACATCACGGAGGATGATCCGAAGACCATGCATCACAATTTTGATCCTCTGCGGAGGGGCTGGCACCCCCGCTTCGGTAGCCCGACGATTTGCGCGCGAAGTCGAGCACTTTACGGTAGCACAGTTTAACGAGGACCAATACCGCACACCCTCGGTTTACCGTAATTTCAGAATGAAAGTTCTAACAGTGTACTCAGAATGAAAGTTCTAACGGTAGTTAACTGCTCCCGTACTAAAACTCAGTTACTGCTGTTGAATTGAGTTAAATGCGACTTGTTTTGTACCTAAAATAATTAAATAATTCTAGATGATATTTTTACACTAGTAATAATAAAACAACAGAATTGTGATCTTTATAAAAAAAGGATTTTTCGGACTCTCTTATTCACAAGTGCATATCACTTACTTGGATCATCGTCTGCAAAATAAAATGCAGAATTTGGTTCTAACTGACTTTCAACTAGAGAATGAAGTGCGAAACAATATGAATGATGCATTTCCGAAGAGTTAAATCGGCTTCTTGGTACAGAAAAAGTGGGTTCATAATCTCTGAAAAATATAAATTAAATGAGAAAAAAAGCAGAAAAAAATTTTATTTACAGTATTCGTCAATCCACAAATTTTATAGTTTTTAACTCTTAATTGAAAAGCTGAGTTCATACAGAGTTAAAAGTAGCATTTTTAAAAGCACTTGACTGAGATTCATCAAGGATGTTCCTATTTTTAACTATGAGTCATTCCACGTCGAATCAATCATTTTTGGACCGACCCCCCTCCGATTTCAATGAAATTTGGTGGAATAGACACTCATTATAAAGTCAGCAATTCCACCAATTCTTAGATTTTTAATTTAAAAATTGTCCAAATTATAGACATGTGAAAAAATAAAATTTTCATAAAAAACGACAAACTTGCATACCTATAAATGGCAGTAACTTTTTGTCTAATTGTATCAGGAAGAAAATTCAAAACCCATTGCAAAGCTAGAAAATAAGAGATTTTATTTGATATCTTATATGACCTTCTCAGGCTAGATAAAACTTTCAAAGTGACCTAATTTGAGCTTTGACCAGAAATATCTCAAAACATATGGTCTCAAAAAATTACGAAAAAAATATATTTTCTTACTGCAACGTTCTTCTACATATTTACAAATTTGTAGCCTGGAGTCTCAACAGGAAGGTTATAAAGAATTAACACAAGTGAAATACTATATAATTAAAAATGTTATGGATGTTCCGACATCATTAGAGAATTAGTTTAAAATAATTGTTTTAAATCATCTGCCAAATCTTGTGGATGTAACAACTGCCACTCTGACTTTTTGCTAGGCAACCCAAACGATTTTCCTTCTTTTTTTTGTTATTAATGCTTTGTAAATCGTCTGTTTATGTCTGTAGAAATAAAAGAATACAATCTCTGTGAAAGCTAACAAGGTTAATTTTGCTGTATAAGATAATTTAACCAGTTTCTGTAATGAAAAGTTTCATTTCACAAAATGGATTTCGAAAGTCAAATTTTTAGAATTAATCCTCCGGTTAAAAATGACCATACTCATGTCAGAAAGAATTTGAGAAAAGTACTGCCTTGTATGATTAAAAAATGCCCAAATTTATCTTTGCAAGAAAAAATATGTTCTTCTTGACGAATATCTCGCTCGAAATTGCCAGATTTCTCGATTGTAAATGAAACAGAGGAAAACCTCTGGTTGTTCAGCGAAAGTGATTCAGAAGAGGATGTTCAGAAAGAAATATGGAATAATAAGGACGCAGAATTGGAAAGTTTGAACAATGCATTACGCATTTTAGGTGAATCTCCTGTAAAAGCAAAGAGATCAGGTACTGGGCAATATAGTGGAAAAAAATTAAGAAAATTGGAGAAGTTTTGAAAGACAATTATAGCATTCGAAAACGCATTAATTCTGCAACAATGTCTGACGAATCTATTATGTTTTCACAGCTGAAAGAAAAATTTCAAGAAACAGACTCAAGCAGTCTCAAGCTCCAATTTCTAACAATATTGCCTAAAACCTGGAGTATTAGTAAAATTCAGGAGGAATTTACTGGCACATTTTATGTGGCACGAAATTCTAAACTGCTAGTCGAAGATCAGAGCATTTTGACAAGTCCAAATCCTAGACCTGGAAAAACTCTTACTGATAGTACAATTGATAATATCATTTCATATTACAACAGTGATGAAGTAAGTCGTTGTTTGCCTGGAAGAAATGATTGAATCAGGTTTAAAAATACAGAAACAAAAGCGTCTGGTTTCAGGAAATGTTAAAAATTTTTTTCAGGGGTATAAAGATAAATATTCTGATGTTCGAGTTGGATTCTCCAAGTTATGTGATTTGCGTCCGAAACATTGTGTGCTGGCTGGTGCCACTGGAACCCATTGTGTCTGCGTCTGTCTGATTCACGAAAATGTAAAACTTATGCTAGCTGGTTGCAAATTACATCATTTATCTCGCTATGAAGAATTACCATTCAAAACATACAAAGATTTTCTATCAAGAATGGTTTACAATCCTCCAGAATGCTTTTCTTTCAATTGTGATTATTGGCCTGGAATTGCACACATATTGGAGAAAATAAACAACGTGTTTCTCGTGAACGGAATAGACGAGATTATCTATAAACTGTGGGCTACAACTGACCGTGCAACGCTTATGACAGTTAACAGCAAAGTAGAATATTTTCTTGAAGCATTTGAAGCAAAACTGAGAATGCTTCTACCACATTCATTCATTACTAATCAACAGTTATGCTTTTTATCGAATCTGAAAGAAGGCCTAGATGATAATGACTGCATAGTGATCTGTGAGTTTGCTGAAAATTATTCTTTTGTATTGCAGGATGCAGTCAAAGGTTACCATTGGAATAATTCCCAGTCTTCTTCAGTGTAAATTCAGCCATTTGTCATTTACTATGTGAATTCAGAAACACTTAAATTGTATCCTGTTTCCTTTGTTGGCATTTCGGAATGTCTCAAGCATGATGTTCACCTTTTTCAGACCCAATTGTTGTAGTTTATAACCTCACATTTTAACAGCAAAATAAAAAATATTTATTACTTCTCAGATGGAGCAGCTTCACAGTACAAAAATCAAAAGAACTTCATAAATTTATGATATCATAATATAGACTTTGGTCTCACAGCTGAGTGGCATTTTTTTCCTACTGCCCATGGAAAAAGTCCATGTGATAGTGTTGCAGGTACCATCACGTTCCAGCCTTCAACGCTCCTATAATGATCAAATCATGACACCGTGGGAGTTATATGAATGGGCTGCAAGAAATATCCCTTCTTGCCATTTTACATATTGCACAGATGAAGATTATGAGAAACAGAGACATTTTCTTGAAAAGCGACATAAAAATGCTTGCACAATCCCTGGTACACAAAAAAATTCATTGCGTAATACCAGTAAGTCGCACATCAATTAAAACGAAAATGTATTCAAATTCATCTGGAAGCAAGATCCAGTCAATGTTGTTAAATCCTTCAGAACTGCCCCTAGAAGATAAATGAATAAAAAATAAGCATGTAAAAGCAAAGAAAAAGAAACACACGGAACTTAAGTGTCACGATGCTTGCATTTTAAATTCATGCATCTGCTTTAGCACTCACAGCAGATGACAATTGTGTATAATCAAAACATAATTGAAATTCACCTTTTTGAGATTCATGTTTTCCTTTTTTTCTCTCTGCAAAATATAATTTTATTCCACTAAGTTCATTGGTCTTTGCTTTTTTCCCGTTCAGAATTGCTTACAATGCTTTCATTTAATAAAGAAACTTTAATTTATTGTTATTTTTAAAACATTTATAAATGTGTTATTAAGCTAGTGAATATTAATGACTCACTGTAACTTAGGACTGCAATATCTTATACTTTGAAAGAAAATTAAAAAAGAAAAGTAAGAACTCAGAACTTTATTTTTATTTCAATTATAAAAATTCTGGAAAGGCTTTGAGAAATTCATAAAACCATTAAAATGAGAAGGTTGAAAAAAAGGATGATGTTTTCATAATTAAATTGCCTAAAACTTAGACTTTCGGAATATCATTTTTTCCAGTATGAAGTCGATGAATATGTTAACCTCACCCGTGTTTGTTTACTACAAAGTACTTTCGCGTTTGATAACAAATTTTACAGTATGACCAATGGTCTTGCCATGGGAAATCCATTGAACCCTATACTTAGTGACATCTATATGCATTATTTTGAAAGTAAACTATTCAAAATCTTAACTTTCCCCTTTTTATAAAAGATATGTTGATGACAGTTTTGCTTTGTTGGATGATAATAATTGTAATTTAGACCAAATTCTTAATGTTATGAACAGCATTGATTCTTGCATTCAATTCACCTTTGAAGTAGAGACTGATCAAAAACTTCCTTTCTTAGATGTTCTTGTGACTCGGAATGGTAATTCATTCCATACTACTGTTCTTCGTAAACCTTTTGCTGTTTCTCTCCCCCCTCATTACAAATCCGCCCACCCTCCCAATCAAAAACTTGCCTCTTTTCGGTCTTTTGTCTACCGTGCTGTTAATATTTGTTCCAATATTGATGCAGAATTGAAATTCAAAGCCATTGCTCATGACAGAGGTTATTCCCCTAACATTATGATAATATTTATAAAAACGTAGCTAAACAATCACCTACCGATAAACCTTCCAAAGAATTTTCTAACAATTTGGTCATTTTACCCTATTTTCCTAAAATAAGTGGGCAAGTTGTAATATCCTAAAGAAGTTTGATTTTAATATTATTTTCAGTCCCATTAATAAGATAAAATTTTTTAATCTCAAACAGCCCATTGACAGTCAAAATAACTGGGGTATATACCAAATTAATTGCCAATGCGGCCTTTCATATATTAGCCAAACTAAGCGTGCCTTAAAGTGCCGTGTCAAGGAACATGAAGTTTATGTCAAAAAACAAGAATTTAAACGCTCATCTATTGCCCAACATTGTTGGGACGCTAATCATAATTTTAATTTTTCCTCTTCTAAAGTCATTCAAAATTGTTCTTCAATATCTGATTTAGATTTTCACGAGTCTTATCATATTTTCAAAAATTCCAAACTGTTGGTCAATGACCTATCCAGCGTTCCTTATCTTTCTCCTGTTTGGAAATCTATGATTAGACCTAACTACCCCCCCCCTCTTTTTTTCTCCTTGCTTCCTATTCGTCGTCATCCATTCACCTTTCTCTCCTATTGGCCGTTGCTCTAAACCCTC